AAATATTTAGAAAATGTCATGCAATAATTAATGTAAATATTTAGAACATGTCATACAAAAATAAATGTAAATATTTAGAACATGTCATACAATAATAAATGTAAATATTTAGAACATGTAATACAATAATAAATGTAAATATTTAGAAAATGTCATACAAAAATAAATGTAAATATTTAGAACATGTCATACAAAAATAAATGTAAATATTTAGAACATGTCATACAAAAATAAGTGTAAATATTTAGAACATGTCATACAATAATGAATGTAAATATTTAGAAAATGTCATGCAATAATTAATGTAAATATTTAGAACATGTCATACAAAAATAAATGTAAATATTTAGAACATGTCATACAATAATAAATGTAAATATTTAGAACATGTCATACAATAATAAATGTAAATATTTAGAAAATGTCATACAATAATGAATGTAAATATTTAGAACATGTCATGCAATAATAAATGTAAATATTTAGAACATGTCATACAAAAATAAATGTAAATATTTAGAACATGTCATACAAAAATAAATGTATATATTTAGAAAATGTCATACAATAATAAATGTATATATTTTGAAAATGTCATACAGTAATATATGTAAATATTTAGAACATGTCATACAATAATAAATTAAATATTTAGAACATGTCATACAATAATAAATGTAAATATTTAGAACATGTCATACAAAAATAAATGTAAATATTTAGAACATGTCATACAAAAATAAATGTATATATTTAGAAAATGTCATACAATAATAAATGTATATATTTTGAAAATGTCATACAGTAATATATGTAAATATTTAGAACATGTCATACAATAATAAATGTAAATATTTAGAACATGTCATACAATAATAAATGTAAATATTTAGAACATGTCTTACAAAAATAAATGTAAATATTTAGAACATGTCATACAAAAATAAATGTAAATATTTAGAAAATGTCATACAATAATAAATGTATATATTTTGAAAATGTCATACAGTAATATATGTAAATATTTAGAACATGTTATACAGTAATATATGTAAATATTTAGAACATGTCATACAATAATAAATTAAATATTTAGAACATGTCATACAGTAATATATGTAAATATTTAGAACATGTCATACAATAATAAATGTAAATATTTAGAACATGTCATACAAAAATAAATGTATATATTTAGAAAATGTCATACAATAATAAATGTATATATTTTGAAAATGTCATACAGTAATATATGTAAATATTTAGAACATGTCATACAGTAATATATGTAAATATTTAGAACATGTCATACAAAAATAAATGTAAATATTTAGAACATGTCATACAATAATAAATGTAAATATTTAGAAAATGTCATACAATAATGAATGTAAATATTAAGAACATGTCATGCAATAATAAATGTAAATATTTAGAACATGTCATACAAAAATAAATGTAAATATTTAGAACATGTCATACAAAAATAAATGTATATATTTAGAAAATGTCATACAATAATAAATGTATATATTTTGAAAATGTCATACAGTAATATATGTAAATATTTAGAACATGTCATACAATAATAAATTAAATATTTAGAACATGTCATACAATAATAAATGTAAATATTTAGAACATGTCATACAAAAATAAATGTAAATATTTAGAACATGTCATACAAAAATAAATGTATATATTTAGAAAATGTCATACAATAATAAATGTATATATTTTGAAAATGTCATACAGTAATATATGTAAATATTAAGAACATGTCATACAATAATAAATGTAAATATTTAGAACATGTCATACAATAATAAATGTAAATATTTAGAACATGTCTTACAAAAATAAATGTAAATATTTAGAACATGTCATACAAAAATAAATGTAAATATTTAGAAAATGTCATACAATAATAAATGTATATATTTTGAAAATGTCATACAGTAATATATGTAAATATTTAGAACATGTTATACAGTAATATATGTAAATATTTAGAACATGTCATACAATAATAAATTAAATATTTAGAACATGTCATACAGTAATATATGTAAATATTTAGAACATGTCATACAATAATAAATGTAAATATTTAGAACATGTCATACAAAAATAAATGTATATATTTAGAAAATGTCATACAATAATAAATGTATATATTTTGAAAATGTCATACAGTAATATATGTAAATATTTAGAACATGTCATACAGTAATATATGTAAATATTTAGAACATGTCATACAATAATAAATTAAATATTTAGAACATGTCATACAATAATAAATGTAAATATTTAGAACATGTCATACAAAAATAAAAAAACTGAGGCAAAATGACATTCAGGAAAAAAAATCAATTATCTTTTTAATTAATTGTCAGCTCGTGATGTAGTTTATCCCACATATGTATAATCGTACAGATGAGTCAAATTTGATGTACGCTAGTGAGTGTATTTTTAAACACGTATGTGGCCCGCCCAAATACATGTACCTTTGCATGCTCAGCGGGCATCGCTACGTAAAGGAAGGTCATGCAGTATGTGCTATAGCAATATTTGCCATATTCATATCTCTTCTCATTGTCAATATCAGTACAAACACGGTGAATTACCGTTGTCAGGTAGTCAAAACAGTGTCAACTGCATTGTGCCATATGTCAATCTCCCTTGTCAGGGTTTAAATCCGATTGTCCCGCATACACGGCTCGTTGCCTTAAATCGATATCCGAGAGCATGCAGATAAAGCTGTCTACGCTTGGATACGAACAGCCAGGATTATATTTCATGCTCAAGGGCTTGGCATTTACATTTAGTATCGTCTTAGTGTATCTGTAAGCCAGACTGGGATTGTACAGTGCTTTAATCGATAACAATATATTTGATTAACAACGTAGCATTTAACAATGTGAACATTACATGTGTTTATAAAGCAAATTTGAGAATGTAAAATGTCTATAAAATTCTGCAGAAAGGAATGTATTAGGTATGTTGAAAAGCAATTCCTTGTCAAAAAGATTTCTTACAATATTTAGTGATAAAAATTATTACCGTAAAAAGCTGAAAATTTCAATAATGCTTTCAAACAGCAGTTTCATTGGTGACATTTTGGAATTTTATGAAACGACCGTTACCCAAATATTTAATTCTTCATACTGTTATGAATTGTCATATATTCCTATTTACTTTTATAGATTGCACCACTCATAGCAAATGAGGTGGAAGTACATCAGTACACCCATACAAAACTTGTACTCGAAAATAATTACGAAAGTGAAATTACCTCCCCTTGATTGCTCAGGAGTCAAAGGCGCCACAATTACGTGTTGAGCTGAGTCTCTTTAACGTGGCAGAAACTAAAGATGGTGGGTTGGAATCCCAGATTCTCTCTGTTTGCTTCTAGATTTGTCTGCAACATGCCAGGACTCACTGATTCCCCCAAATTGTAAAGACAACCATCGCTTCGGGATTCCTCCCACATCAAGCTGACATTCCGTGGTATAACTGTAATACCGTTCAAAGCGGATTTAAACCAAACACACTCACTTACTCATATATGTTATGAGGACAGACGGGGTCGTTACTCATAATATCAGTCACTGGTTTGTCTGGTCCGGACTGTACACTCATATAACTGGAACAAGGCTGAGCGCGGCGTAAAACAACGCTCAGTTTCAGTTTATTCAGTATAGGTCTTGTGGTAGAGCGTCCGCCCGGAGAGCGGAAGGTCCAGGGTTCGATCCCGGGCCGCGTCATACAAAAAGACGTTAAAAGATTGTACTTGTTGTTACCCTGTCTGGCGCTCGGCATTAAGGGGCTAAAACAAGGACTGGTCGGCTCGGAGTCAGTATACTGTGTCTGAGTGGGGTATTCATGTTAAACTGCGGCATGGTATCTCGGTGAGCTAGCACTATAAATCGGCATCAGTCCGGACTAGTACAAGCAGCCACACACACACATACACGTGCATGCACGTCGCTATATAAGTGCAATAATCTTGGACGCGACGTTAAACCCAATTTCACCTCACCTTACCTTATTCAGTATAGGACAAAAGCAACAATACGTGAACCAATTGACAAAAAGATGCGCTGAAACTTACTCATACATGTATATTTTAGAACTTAATGTATATTGAAATCCACCCCACTCCTCGCTCCTATTCTTTCCCCACCGCTCTTACCCGTTAAGACGTTGACCTTGGTGGCAAAATTCTTACTCACACACTATGACCGATATGATTGAGCACAACATGTTGCAAGCTAATAAAACCCCAGGAAACTAATTCCCGACACTTATCTGCATAGTGCATTCGCTATGTGTACAGGAAAAAGTGAGCGAGAAGTGGTAAGTGTGGTTTCAAGTAGCGTCTGTGCATACATGTCACAATCATGAACACAATGTGCTTCCGAATCGTGTTGTAACCGTCTGGGCACAGAAAAAAGGCTTATTCAGAAAAATACACACAGGTGAGTTTCGTAAAGTATTGACATCAAGTACAGAGCAACGCTCCTGCTGATTAAGAATTTTATCATCCAAAACTGGCTCCCACAGGAGATATCGCTTGGATGAGATCAAGCGATATCTACACTGTAGATATCGCTGCAATGAAATTACATCACAATGCTTTGCAGACCATTGTGACGTCACTGGTTACCATGACGTCACAATCAAATGACATCACTAATGGCTCTGCTACTGAAGCTGTTTGCAGTACTTTTTACACTGAAGACACTGCTAATTACTGTCTACAAATTGAAAAAGTTGAAAGAATGATGTTGGATGATAAATAAAATCTCACCCTCGTGTCTTTTGATATCAAATATATCAACACTCGTTGATAAAAGTGGCAAAAATCCTCGGCAAGCCTCGGATTTTTCCACTTTTATCAACTCGTGTTGATATATTTGATATCAAAAGACACTCGGGTGAGATTCTCTATGTCTTTGCAATATGTAAATATTGGTTTTTGTTTGTCCTTGTAGGAAACCGGAGAAAAACCATTTCAACGCATGGGAGGCCCCACTCCCTGATGATGACATGGGTAGGCGTAAATACATATACTCACCGCCAAAAGAAACGCGAATACCATACATATTGGTTAATATACGAAGAAGGGGCGGTCGGGTAGCCTAGTGGTTAAAGCGTTCGCTCGACCCGGGTTCGATTCCCGACATGGGTACAATGTGTGAAGCCCATTTCTGGCGTCCCCCGCCGTGATATTGCTGGAATATTGCTAAAAGCGGCGTTAAACCATACTCACTCACTTACTAATATATGAAGACTTACTCATATTGAATAGATATAAGACTGGTTCGTTGCACAAACGAACATACTGGAGTGTTGTGTGAACCGATGCTTACGAACGCATCCCATGTGACGTCATGATCCATAACTCGAGATGCACCATTTGACTTGTACAGGGTCAGCGTGTAAAGTATGGAATCCATGTGTAGCATATCGTGATAAGAATAAAGTCTTTGTGATAACACTTTTCTGATTGCTAGTTTTGTAATTAATTGGTTCACATTGGAAAAAAACCCTCTTGTTAACGTACATACTTCTCCATATGTTTCTATGGTTCGCGTTTCTTTTGGCGGTGAGTATTGTTCACTGCTTACTGTAAGATATTACTGTAGTAAGGTCGAGAATCAGGACACTTGGAAATCCTTCATAATTCACGAATTCGTATGGATATTTCGGTGTATTATTTTACGAACGCTTCAAACCAAACTTAAATCAACGCATATCTTTGATTGAGTTGGAGGACGTATTAACATTTGTATCACACAATGAGTGAGTGAGTGAGGTTTTACGCCGCTTTTAGCAATATTCCAGCAATATCACGGCGGGGGACACCAGAAATGGGCTTCACACATTGTACCCATGTCGGGAATCGAACCCGGGTCTTCGGCATGACGAGCTAACGCTTTAACCACTAGGCTACCCGACCGCCCCTCACACAATGAAATTGAAGAACGAATTGTGTCAACACTGCTAAATATAGTTATTTTAAAGTTAAGTCTTGTTGCTTTTCAGGACTTGTATCCTGGATGAAATTCAATGACTACCCTGAAATGAAGCCAGGTAAGAATAACAAGAACTCCCCGAACACATCTCAGTGTATTCTGTATGCAGGGAAACATTGTCTCTTCACCATATGCCTTACACAGGAAAATATTCATAGTGCAATAATTAAAATTTCCCCGTGTTCATTGAAATTCCTGCATTCTGATTAGCTGAATTGGTCACGTGTTTTTGCATTCATTCCCCAATGAATGTAAAAAAATAAGCCACGCCTACCGAAGCGGACTACTTTTATTACTACGGAATGTCGGGGAATCCCAATATAACAGTCGAGGGAATTCCCTTTCTGCTGGTGTATCGTCATGCACAGGACATTTAGCGACATTCATGCATATTCAGTGTGCAAACAACCCTTTCAGACCGGAGGCCAACAGGAATGAGACAGCAAACGTGCAGGCTCACTCGCCGGTTTTTTCACGCTTGCCTTGGTTCAACTTTCATGTCTTCCGGTTTCATTTCTAACTAGCATGCTCCCAACTGTGTCTTCCCGTTCACAGGGAACTAATGTTTGAATCTGGCGGTAACTGACCATGCCATTTCAAACAGCCGCCTTCTCCCGGACATATTTGTTCCGGCTCGTGACAGTCTAACTGTTACACCTCTTGTCTTGATTGACAGGTCCTATGAACATTGTTTTGATCTTACTCTCCGCTGATTGCTTCTGACTTTGTAGGCGTGTCAAGTTATGTGCATAAATTTAACAATCAGCTGATTCATTTCACGTCACAGTATATATTCCTACACTTGGAATGTTTATCAATCTCGTCATTTTTGTCTGCTTTGATATATACAACTTTTTGGGTTAAACTATTGTACATAAAATTCATGTTTTACGTACCGGAAATTATTTTGGTCCAAGAGCATAAATTGTGGTTAAATGTATATTTTTCTAAATGGTTCCATCTGCAATAAAACGTATGCGACATGGCATGATCTTTGCACCAACTTCAATAATAAATTAGTACACACATTTCTTGTACTTCAGCCAGTGACGATGATGAGGATGACGTTTCAAGGATACGACAAAATGGATTTCCTCTGTGTCCATCAATTGAAGATGCCAGGGTATTTGAACGACAAAGTCTCCATGATAGATTTAAGACATCATCATGTCAATACACTGGAAACGACAACAACGAGAAAAAAGCCCCAAGTCCGCCCCAACCCCAAATCACAGTTCCTCCAAAGACTACAGAAAATGTAGTCCCTAAACAGAAAATTAACGTTGAAAGTGTTAAACGTGCGTGTAAGAGTGCCATTCCAACCCACCAATCACCCGTTCTAACGTCAGAGGAAAAGGAGGCACTTATTGCAGACGACAATATGTCACTTCCGGCCAGGAGTTGCACTTCTGTAGATCAGTCCCAGACGACATCAAATGCTGTTGATCTTGCAGAGAGTAAAACTAAAGTTAGGAAACTCATGGGACTGGCTCAGAAATACATGAGCAAGAATGACAAGGCTTGTGATGAAGGAGAGGATTTTAATGACGAAGGATATGACTCAAAAATATCCAACGAAACGGAAGGAGTAGAGGAATTAAAGAATATCGAAGAAGTGTTACTGGCGCGGGAAAAGTATCTAGCAGAGACGTTTGAGGAAGAAGAAGGTCCTCATCAATTGAACTCTTTTCAGTGGGTCCGGGATCCTGGTGGAATGTCTCCTGGTAGGATAGTTAAATTGTCTTACGCCCAAAGAGATAAAACTTTTTATAGCTTAAATGGTGACAAATTTGAGTCTTTGTGTAGAACTCTAAGTAAACAGAATACTGGGAACAATTTCAGGGGCATCATGGCTGCTAGTCTCAGCAACCTCTCTCCAAGCTCACTGAACATGCGCCATTTTAGAGACTCTGGGAATTTGCAACTTCTAAATTGTGGCGTTCCTGCAACTCCCAGATGGGGTTACGAAAATAACAGCCGGGGTAAGTTTTTACCAACTCAGGGTGATGGTGATTCAAAGCCTATGATTCTCAGGAAAGTGACAATACAAGATGCTAATGGTGAGGGCTGTGGAGCTGGCGATTCCAACTCCTCCCCAGAAACACAAACGGCGGAAACACCCGAGTTCAAGCGAACAGAGACCACATTATACAGGGAGCGATCAAAAGTTCAGGTTAATCACACGTCGCCTCAGCTGACAATAGATTCTACTAAAATCAACAGAAACGTGTCTATACCTTCACCCCAACAGTATAGGAACATCAGCAATAAGGTTGCTGCAAGAAGAGGGGATTTAAGGACTCCAAAATATGACCCTCGGGACTACATACTTACCGATAACGCGTCCAATTCACATATTCCACTAGGGGATTTGTTACCCGCAGTGGAAAGGAGTATCCGGAAGACCCAGTCTCAGAGAGGTCGAAGATGTCCTGGATATGAAGCCTCACAACCATACCCATCTCTCTCAGAGGAGGAGAGAGCCATCCTCATCAAACGTGATGTGGATGCATTGGCTGCCTCATATGATACGGTATGTTATTTTGATATGAGTGTATATATGCTGTGGACGTAGACATTGATTTGATTGCATGGAAAACTGAACGGAAACTAATATATGTAATATCACATGTATCTAAATATACCTTTTACCCAAACAAATGTCAATTAAGTCAGTGATCAGTAAATTATTTATTTCCTAAAGAAAAGCGACAAAACCCTTTCCATATTCATTAGAAATATCGATTGTGCGATTCTGATTATTATATTATGCGCATATGTTTATGAATCATTATCAAATAGAGATGATACCAGACATTCTCGAAAAGCTGAGCCTGTCCTATGGCACCCGTTACAAACACATGCAAAGACAAGTCAAACGTGTAAAATGCAGGAACTATTTTGAAACCTTTAAGAGTATTGTTCTCACTTCCGTGAAAGGAAAATTCATATAAATCTGAAAGTATTACGAGAGCACATATATTTAGATCGATTATCCTTTCGAATACACGCAAAGCTGTACCCACCCGTTGGCAACGGCAAAAGGGGTTGACTTGCTTCAAATCCGTCAAGGCCAGAGAACAACCAGTCTCGATAATCCGCCGAAACAGATTTGATTGGACGAAAGGCAAAATAACGTTGGAGTGAGTGAGTGCGTATGGTTTTACGCCGCTTTTAGCAATATTCCAGCACTATCACGACGGGGGACACCAGAAATGGGCTTCACACATTGTACCCATGTGGGGAATCGAACCCGGGTCTTTGGCGTGACGAGCGAACGCTTTAACCATTAGGCTGTCCCTCCGCCCCAAATAACGGTGGAAATGATATGAATGGATCACTGAAAAGTTACACGTTTGTTTCTTTGTGTATAACACCTATAGGTAGGAGGTGTTCCTTAGTCTTGGTAAATGTGATATAACATGGTAAAAGATTCTGTTTTACCCTTCAGCCTCACGGCCCCCCGGCGTTCCACCCTTTCCATACGAGGTCACCCCTACAACGTGCCCAGGAAATATCCAATAAGAGACTTCACGGACATGTTACACAAAACCCGGTGGGTAATTTACTTTGATGCATTAATGTTTCATAAATACGTCAGCAATATATACTTGAAGGATTAGGGACCAAATGTAATCGTTGAGAAAAGCCAAGTTGTGAAATGCATGTAGTGTATTATTGAACAATAATAAAATATATGTACACGATATTATTTCCTATGAAACTTAACACTGAAATTAAATACCCGATTCCGTGACTAGAAATTGATATATAAACACGGAATTATACATTGTTTCAGTTAAAGCCTTTTAAGAAAAATGTTAAGAGATAGATGTGATCACATATGAAATTCTTTCATCACTGACCCGTGAAGATCCGTCGTAGAATAGGTCTTCAGCAACCCATGCTTGCCGTAAAAGGCGACTATCATTGTCGTAAGAGGCGACTAACGGGATCGGGTGGTCAGGCTCGCTGACTTGGTTGATGCATGTCATCGTATCCCAATTGCGTAGATCGATGTTCATGATATCAATCACTGGAATATCTGCTCCAGACTCGAGTATTTACAGACCGCTGTCATACAGCTGGAATATTGCTGAGTGCGGCGTTAAACAACACACAAACAAATAAATCTTTCATCATGGAGTACACATTCCCCCGCAGAGAGGCACGACATCGTTGTTGTAGATGAACAATTTATCAGGCTTCGGTACACGAATGCACTACACATGTAAAAAAAACATATAACGTTTCACCATGTAATGCTTTTGATGAAAAGTGGTTCAAATATGACATATGGCCGAATAAAACAGTATGTTGCAATGTATTGTTTTCTTATGTGGGTATCGCTCTGCAGAGTTGCGTCCCTTAGGCGTTCCAGAAATTTATGATCGTGGGTTCGAATTTCAGATTGGCCCTGGTTATGTTTCTATATTTGTCAACACTATACTCTTACTCGTGGATTTCGCATTATTTCAGCCTTTCACCCCATATAAGCTGACGCGTTGAAATACTGTTCAAATTAAAGCGGCGTTAAACACTCACTCACCCATTCTTATGTGGTTATAATATGGACTTGTCGTTTAAAATAGTATTCGTAATATATGCATTAAAATGAAAAAAAAACTTGACATATCTGTTTCATTGAAACGAATTGAACGAAATGGAGATTCAAAACTATGTTAAACATTTTATGGGGATGCTGACGATTACCCAATCACCTTATCAAGTAATTAGTATTACCGTAACACAAAGCTACAAATAAGTTTATCTGGTATCTGGGATTGACCATGTATTTATGACGTATTATCTGACCTTACATTTAAACACTAGCTTCTGATTGGTTAAGGAGCGGGCAATTATTTTCAATGTTACCCGCGTTGGTTTGGGATAAATTGTTTTGTCGATATTGAGTCATGACAACCTTGCATGCAAAATTCAAACCGGAATTGAACGGAAGTCGACGTAAGTTAGCACTGAGATGGTGTGACAAACAAATAATAATTACTCCGCTGACATTGAAAATTATAGGTTTTCCTGGGCGGTTAGGAAATTGAAGGTTTAAAGCTCGTTTCCCCACATTGTGTGATGCTAATTCATAAATTCATAATATTGCTGACATCATGCTTAAACCAAGCTGCCTCACTCACTAATGTTTGTCTATCTAATTATATTATACACATACTTTCTATGTATTTCAGGATGGTACTGAAACAGTGCGTGTTGCCTCGCCCCGGTATCAAGCAAGAATGCCTCACAGACGTATAGGGTCTTCTACAGGGTAAGAGTCTAGCTCCCATTCCCTTTAGGTATCTTTTAATCTTAAAACAGATTCATTAATTCGAATTTTAAACGTTCTAATGTTCACTGCAGAAGCAAAGCTATATTCGACGAATAAAATAATATCAAGTTTGCAAATCGATTACATTTTAAAGATAAAGGTATTAAGAGAACTTAAGATGTATTTGTATCTTTGGTTTAAATGGTATGGTTTCTTCATTATAATTAAAACCAGGTCGGTGGGGTAGCCCAGTGGGTAACGCGTTTGCTTGACACGCCGAAATCCCGGGTTCGATTCCCGACATGGGTACAATGTGTGAAGCCCATTTCTGGTGTAACCTGCCGTGATATTGCTGGAATATTGCTAAAAGCGGCGTAAAACCATACTCACTCACTCACTATGAATAAAAAGTGTTTCCCGAATGCCGACTGATTTGTAATAAAGTCTTGTTGAATATCATCAGGAAACTAAGGGTAAGATTGGCCCTGTTTGGATCAGTAACAAAACTACAGGACAGGGTGTCCACCCGAAGCTCAGTGAGATTCTATACATATCATTGTGGTTTGAATGTAGTCGCTTTTGGAAGGTATAAAACCGCCATTCTGTACTGTCAGTATTGCATAGCCATACCAGAGGGGAGAATAGATACATACTGTGTCGTAATACACGTAGCCAAGTAATGTCCGATTCTGGGCAGTAGAAATGTAGCTATTTGTGATTTAATTTTAGTCAGAGTTTAGAAGGACGGGTATCGAGTGTGCCCATTTGTAGCTCATCTTATATTAATGTAAAGCAGGTCAGTTTGAGGAATTAGCATTGCTCTTGCACAGTATTGTAGATTTTGCACTGCACGTATTGTAATGTAGAAATGGTAGACAATACTTTAGAATATTCTCTTACCTTGGGGCTGGGTCTTAATATATTGATATTCTTCTTGTTTTGCCCTGCTATTTGTCAAATAATGGGTGGTCTTTGGTATTTCAACATACCGTGTAGAGTTATGTCCCTTACCCGTGCCAAGATCCGCTTTGATCCTTGGTAATCAGTGATGCAGTGTTATTGGCACGGATATGCCTTATTTCAGCTAGGCACAAATGCTACGCCTGTTTCTTTTGACCAAGCTTGTGTCAACAGCTTCGTTCACTATTTATTCTATATCACTCTTCTAAATTCCTTTCCTTGTGGCCGTGATATGGAAATGACAATACAAGAAAATGAACGCATGTTTGATAAATATTCATTTTATATTAAATGCACAACGAACTTTAACAATTACAATAGCCGGATGCATTTGGAATCGTGTTTTAACATCGTGAACATTACTGCAACATTATTTAGACACTATGACATTTTCTTCCATGAGATGAATCATTTTATTTTATAATTCTAATACATTACATATGACGACACGCCAGTAGTGTGGAACAGTCGAGAATGTTTACTCAATGAAAAGTGTGTTGCAATTAAACAGCTCTTTCTCGCTCGTTCCCCACGCCCTGTGTGTTATTGCAAAGTTCATTTGTGTTGGTGGCTTCTTTCGCCTTCCTGCTTTGTTGGGGCTGTTCCATGTGACATACGTATGTCTCCATATCAAACGTGTTTCAATAAATGGTGATAGTTCAATATTCAGAACCTGAAATCCTCCTGATTTATGTGTAATAATACATCATGTTCCATATCTACAGTATCAATACTGGTATCTCACTGTGTGTTTATTAATGTTTGGAATATATTGTTAATGCAAATAGGTCTTCAGCTACCCATGTTTACTGTAAAAGCTGACTATGCTTGTCGTAAAAGGCGACTGACGGGATCAGGTGGTCAGATTCGCTGACTTGGTTGATGCATGGCATCGTGTCCCAATTTTTGGGATCGATGTTCATGATGTGAATCACTGGATTATTTGGTCCAGACTTGATTATTTACAGCCCGCCGTCATATAGCTGAAATATTGCAGCGTGCGGCTTTAAACAACAAACAAACAAATAATTTATCACATGTACACCATTAGAGACTTGTATGCGTTACCGTTTTGTGCGTTCATTGATTCAAAAACTCCTTTCTGACTCACAACAGGCGTGGAAAGGAAGCCGTTGTAACTCCTCGATCACCTAGACAGGATAGAGTTCCTAGACTTCTATTGTCTAAATCGAAAAATGTTCAAGGGGGTTAGTATTTGCATGGGTTTCGTTGTTTTTTGTGGCGCACATTCCATCACTTATTGCACATTCATTGTAGTGGGTCTATAGCTCCGGCCAATTACCATGTACACCAGAATAACACACATGGCTTCAATTACGTGGTAAACATGTGTATCTATCTTAAATCTATACTTTGTTGAATCTAACAGGCAGTTAAATGAAAAGGGGAATAAAAGAAGTTGGATCTGTTCATTTACATTATAGAAACTTTTTATTAATTGGGCTGACAATTTAAAGCATTTGACATTCGAAAAGTATACATGTTATTGTGTGGAGCTATAGATTTGTGTTTGCTAGTAGTAGCTGATTGAAGCTGATATCCTATAATCGGACAAATTCATTCCAAAAATCAAGGTATTGTTGAGTTGGTTCTTGAAGTTTCCGTGCACCTATTTATATTGTTCATGTTCAAGAAACAGTTGATATCGCGTCGCTAACAAGACTGCATGAATATTTGACAAATCTAATTCATCATCATGTTCTGTTCGTACTCTGGGGGCACGCGCGGCCATGTAATTTAAGGCGTCCGGCCCTGCAGCGTTGCATCCCTTGGCAATGCCAGAAACCGATGAGTGTAGGTTCCAAGTCGGTTCGCCCTGAATATGGTTTTAGGTTTGTCAGCACCATACCCGTGCCCCTGGGTTTCAGCAAAGTGGTAAACATCTAAAACCAGCATCACTGTATGATACAACTGAAATATCGTTCACTCCTCATACTTGATATGCTATGACAAGATTAGATACGTTCAATGTCCCAAATGAGGTTTGTGATATAGATATTTTAGTTATTCGGTTGTCTTTATTCGACATGCACTAGTCTTTGTCATGAATTTGACGTTATGTTGAAAATATACCTCGTGGACGTATATTGACCTAATTTAGATATGTTAATAAAAAAGCTAGGTAAACGATCAACGACGTCCTCACTTGTGTAGTACACAGACAATGCTGACAGGTATTCAACTTAGGGGCAGAATGTATGTTATTCTGAAAGCAGCACCGAATCAAATTCGATGGCCATAAATAACTGATGGGAAGTGACCAAACGTATACCTTGGTTTCTTGTCAAGCCAATGTAATGCTGCATTTTCTATACTAAATACATTAGGGCATGTATACAGGAAAAAATATATAAAAATACGCTGCTATCAGTCACCTTTTTATTGTACAAGATGGTTCGGCAACATTGTTGGTGTATACATTTATGATTATGTCAAATCATTATTACTTTGGTAAGTACTGTTTTATGTAACTGACATGTTCTTACGTAGAAATAATGTTCATCATTATTATTGCTTGATAAGATGTGTAACTATTAACATGATTGTATTGATCAGCACGTATCATCTATGCACATGATATTCAAAGTTATTGTTCTTAAATCAAGGTACCTGTTTTCTAAAAAGTCCAATCTTGGTTTTATTGCTTTTCAGCTTTCTAGGCAGCAGAGTAATCAGCGGTCCATTCAAACGGAGGTTTTAGATGACTGAATCCTGGAAATGACTAAAGTACTTTAATCAAGTATAAATTCGTTAAGAAGACAAGCCACTGTCATTTGTTTGGGACGCACGATGGAGGTTTATATTTTTGATGATCAGTATAATGATATATCATATCAAAAGATTTCCAAGCTCCCAATGACGATAAATCTGGACTACCTCTCAAGATAAAATACACTTTTGTATATGTCTAAAAATCATCCAATGAGCTCTGTGACAAAAAAAATCACTTTTTATATCGGAGATACGCATTCATTTTTTCAAGCCAGTATTTCAAATTTACCCCGATAGGAACATGAAATTTATTCTGTTGGAAATAGATAGATATGTATATTTTTATAGCTATAGATTATTTTTACGTATTGGCTATTACAAGTACACAAGGTTGAGCTAACTGAAAAACGTTTTGTTTCTTTGATATTTCATATTATCTTTGTATTCTAATAAACATCTTATAATGTTAAAACATATGAGTAATGTTGTTTTTGCGTTGTTCAAATAACACAATAACAATTAATTATGAAAGGTAAAGTATTGATGGATACTCATGCTGGATGCCCCGAAAAATGTTTATTAAAAAGGGGAAATTGTTCGACTCTCCCTTTCAGAGAAATACAATGTTTTTTGAAGCAGTGACGGAAACAAGATCTTGGCGAAATCCGAATTGAAAATCGAAGAGAATTTAGGATATAGACGGAGTCATTTTGCAGTTTGCCAATGATAAATTAAACAAATTGCATTGAGATACCAGGATGCGAAACAAGATCTTGACGAAATCCGAATTGAAAATCAAAGAGAAATTTAGGACATAGACGGAGTCATTTTGCAGTTTGCCAATGATAAATTAAACAAATTGCATTGAGACACCAGGATGCAAATAAATAGGTAAATGAATTACAATATTCTACCAATCGAATACACTGTATGCATGAAAGCAGAATCAACATTTGAATATTACTTTGTGATGTAATTTCTGAAATATCAGTTTCAATATGAGGCTTCGTTAACATTAGGATAAAAGATATCAATATCGGCATCAAGAATAGAACCAAATAAACAGTTATGACGGACGTGCAAGCACTATTTCACATCCACTTGTTTTATAGTACGAGGTATTTTAATAATCGGAATTTTGAAAAACTTTTAATTACCTATATTATAAATTATATAAAAAGTTGGTGAGTGAGTGAGTGCGAATAAATCTAAGAATATTGTTATATTTCATAGTAGTTAAAGCGTTCGCTCGTCAGGCCGTAGATCCGGGTTCGATTCCCTACATGGGTACAATGTGTGAAGCCCATTTCTGGTGTCCCCCGCCGTAATATTGCTGGAATAGTGCTAAAAGCGGCGTAAAACCGTACTCACCCACTCACTCAAACATCACAGTCGGCGTGAATTGTGATGAAATACTGTTTGGATGACATATTGGGAGGTGTATGAGGTAAGTAGTCAGCAGTCAGGAAAGCCATTGTCATGACCATACAGCAAAAGGTCACCGTAATCAACCCTAGTGCACCCAAATAGTCCCGTTAGTGGCAGATGGACAATTGTTTTTGACACATATTTCTCCATACAAACATCTGCGTCAAAGCTAATGAACACTGAACAAAATGCCACAAGAGTTTGGTTTCTTTCAAATCTGTCCACGCAGATGCAGCTCTGCAACATACTTAAAAATAATTAAAACAATTTTATTTGGCATATATATTGTATGTTTAAATGCTGGGCGGACGCTCTACCACAAGACCACGGAGGCGGCGATAGGGTAATGCATGAGAAGGATGCATTAATAATGATTTATCTCTTTCGGAGGAGACAAATAATGAATATATGTAAAAAGACTACACTGGGTCAATGACAGTGTCCCAAGCGTGACAGGGCCACAAGCAATCAAGCTCACTTTTTTATGTCCACACGATGCATTGGTTAAAATAACGGTGACGCGATGTTACTTTGCTGACGACGCGCTGGGCACTGCAGTTTCAGTGTGGGTAGACGGCCTCAAGACACGGTCAACGTATAAATCAATCAGTGGTCAGTACTGCAGGGTTATTCCTTCCGCCGTTTATCCAAGGACTAATCTAGCCGAAAACGTTATGGAATATATTCTAAATATAGGGTCGTTTAATGCAGCGCAAACCATCCACACGGAGTCAAACATAACCCTAAAGGGCATTACTTTAACACGATACCAAGAAGAAGTCTGTTTAAAAGCCAAACGCGAATGAATTTTGAATCCTGTGGCCAATATGAATGAAAACAGGATAATTGACACTGACATCTGACTTTAATTTTAAACGACCAGCCACGGTGTATTCAACCCTTGCTGTCACGATATAATTCAGAAATATTACCCTAACCAACCCAATGTATTAATTGGAACATGATCAATTTTGATCAAATCGTAATCATTAGATAGCCTCAATCATGGGCATATTGCTTAAATATGTTCACGTGTGAAACGAGAACAATTAGATCTTAACATGAATGTTATTTACAACAGCTGGATTGTTACAAAATGGTTATTGAAGGCTCACGCAACAGTGATTCAGGAGTGTGAAAAACTAACTCCCATAGACTTACCACATGTCAATAGAAATTGGGCTGATTGCTAAACAAAAAACAGCAATGAATGAAATCATTGCTATAATATCAAAGGCGCCGGTAATCTGTCTCTTGTATTTAAAACATTTACAGTTAAATCACCCGCACAGTGTACTTGGAAACTTTGACTAACGGTTCAACAGAATGATCGTTGATTCCTCGTAACAGTAACGCAGGACACATTCCCAAGCAGTCGTCATGAATCTGACAACTGATGCCAGTTACAATGCTACATTTCCTGCCTTCTATCTGGTGCTTTCATTGTTGGTCATGTCCGCCAACGGCATCGTCGTTGCCGTCGTCGTTAAAACACGTCACTTACACCTGCCGACGTTGTGGATGATTACTTGGATGGCAGCATGTGACTTCTGTATGGGTGCCCACATCTTTATCTTCTCAGTCCCATCTGCCTTCCTCGGCCGATTCGCATACCAGCAAGCCTTGATTGGATTTTCCTCCTGCTGCTTGACGTTTCTTGTCGGACAGAGTGTCCTCAATGTGGCGATGGTCGTCGTCGACCGTTACATTGCAGTATTTTGGCCGCTACGATACATACACATTGTCACAATGAAAAGGTTAATGATGGCCATAGCGATCACCCTCGTTCTGAGTGTAACCCGAATGATTCTCACTGCCCTTCTCGACAACGATTTCTATTATAATATAAACATTGCTGCCTGCATAGCAGATTTTGATTCTGCCGAAGCAGTCGCTGCCTCAGTTGGAATCCCCCTGCTAACATTAGTTGTGATTCTGTTTTGCTTTACTAGGATACTACTACACGTTCAACAACGTCGTAAAGACGTCACTCCAACCGGCCGTCTTCTACGACCCGAAGGCTTCATGAAGTGTCCGATAATGGTCCTCTTCTCAGCAGGACTCTTCTGTGTTTCGTACATTCCCTTTGTGCTGGGTATTATACTGTCTTTTCTGAAAGGGAAGGAAAATGTACCAGAAAGATTTCAAAGAGTCATAATGTTCGGAGTGTTGTCTAATAGTTTGTGGAATGTGTTAATCTACACGGCAACCTACCGGCCATTCAGAGAGGCGCTCACCTACATCCTCTGTCGGACCTATCACAGGAAAAAGAGACTTGAAGAAATTAGGACAATGCTTAGTATACAAGAGTGCTGATGTGTAAAGTGTAAGAAGTACATTTGCACCCTGAAGGAAATGCGAAATGTTTAATACCTAGAATTAACCGAATACTGGGCGTTGATATGTCATTGCTGCTAATGCGGTGGATTTTATTGTACATACATATTTGCTATCAATAAAGTTTATTTAAATTTATTTTATTTGTTTCTGTCAATCAAACATATCTTCACATGCACGGACGCCAAAGTTTCTGTTTGACTTAACTATTTGAAATATTGTTATCCAATTTAATGAGTGTGTGAGTGAATGTTGTGTTTCACGCCCCAATCAGCAAAGCTCCAGGTATATGACGGCTGCATGTTCCTATCGAGTCTGCATCTGGACACCCCACCCCACCCCACCCCCCAGGGGGATGTAGCCTCGACAACATTCTAACGGGAATAAATTATGCCGGATTAGCCAAAAAATACTCCTTCCTATATTCCTCCCAAGAGGAAAGAAATTCTCTCTATGTCGAGGCGATACATTCTCTTTGCCCGTAATATAATTCAGCAATACTTCCAATTGTATAGGGTATATATCAAATGTGGAACACACTTGTCGAGTGGTTTCACACCCCTAAATCCCTGTTGCGCGAGCCTTCAAAAACCATTTTATAACAATTCAGCTGTTGCAAAGTAGATTCACCTAAGGATCTAATTGTTATTCTAAGCTCACTACAGAAATAGTAACATAATGTAGCACATGGCACATGACTGCAGTATTTCTGGAAATCTACCAGAAACGTCGAGTTACTGATACTGGTTGAGACACGGACCGAAGCTGTTGACAAGTGCTAGTTACGTCACAAGCGTTGTGGGGACACGGGTTGTCCAGTCGTCCAAGGCGCCAAGATTCGCTGTGCAGAGTTGCGTCCCTTGGGCACGCCAGAAACCTATGATTGTGGGTTCGAATCCAGGATCGCCCCGATTATGTTTCCAGGTTTGTCAGCACCATACCCGTGCTCGTGGGGTTCACCGAAGTGGTAAACGTCTGAGACCTGCATCACTTGGGGCTTTCCTCCCACAATAAGCTAACTCGCCGCGATATAACAGTCATACTGTTGAAAGCGGCGTTAAAAACAACTCACTCACTCACTCACTCACAAGCGTTGTCTTAACGGCACTGGCCTTGTAGTCCAGACTTTGATCATTTATGTGACCAGTGATCCTGGGGCAGACCGGACATACTGACGTACGTACCTTTGAGATAACTCTGCTGCTGAGCGGGCTCTTACCGAGTAGGGTGGTTTACGCGACAATGTGCAGCATCTGTTTAAGAAGTAACGTGTGCTCCAGCCCCGTGTGTCGTGTCATAAGATATTGTTTCACACTCCTGAAGCCCCCAATAACCATTTGATAACAATTCAGCTGTTGCATATTACATTCATGTAAGGATCTAAATGTTGTCGTTTCACACGCAAACATATTCAAGCATTATGTCCGTGGTATATACACGCGTCTAAGGATAACGTTTTGATCAATATTAATCGTGTTCAAAATAATAGATTGGGTTTGTTAGGGTCATATTTCTCCATTACATCATGACGACAAGAGTTGAATAAACAGTGACTGATCGTTTAAAACTACAGTCAGGTGTCAGTGTCAACTATCATTCATTTTGGCCACCGGATTCAACTTCATGCGCTTTGGGCAGTTTTGGTCAAATATGTTTCAAACAGATTTTTTCTTGATATAGTTTTAAAACATTGTCCCTTGGGGTCAT